GAGACCACGAAGAAGATAAACAGGTTGCTTACCAGTAACTGGTGATCTTCGAGTGGTCATCTGTGCATTCACACCGCCCGCCCTCCTTCCCCTCTGCTGTCAGCTCCTGATTTTTTGATAGGTGTTGATTGGCGGCGGTGCTTTGAAGGAACTGGCGGGATCTCCGCGCCCGTCCCTCTGGGCATGCGCGCTGGGGTTCCTGCGCATGCTCAGTGGGACTCGCGCGAAAATCCTTTGAAACATAGCTTGCTACAGCACCGGTCGGGTCAGCGCAGGCGCACTAAACCCCATTGGTGTGAATGCACAGATGACCACTCGAAGATCACCAGTTACTGGTAAGCAACCTGTTTTTGCGCAAGCAGGACTGTGGCAGATAAGCTAAGGGGGTGTCTTGTTATATGTAGTTAACTCATGACGATCAAGAAGCAGTGGCCTCTGAACGCATGTAGTTGCTGGCCTCGTCCAAAATCAGTGACACAAGAGTGTGACGGTTAAGGGCTCTTTGGCCATGCTGATCAATTTATTCTGCAGTAATCACAGCATAAGGCTTTATGTCGGCTCATTTCCAGTACCATGGCGTGTGGTAGTGGGTCAGCTACCCTTCCGTACCCCCACCTTTCCTTTGTACACAAGATGAAACCATTTGCCTGTGTCACCAAAACCCCGGGGTGCTGCCAGAAGGCAAAAAAGGTCAAGGGGGAGGTGTTTATCGCATCCAGGGAAGACAAACAGACATGCCCCAAAGTCTGACATTTCCCATTGTACACAATAAGCAGGCTCAGCTAGCGGGACAGCTTGTGAATGGTTTCTGTCACTCCTCTAGATTGTTTCTTGCACACCGATTTGACCAGGTGAGGGGAAGAACAACCCCATCCTGTTGCTTGCTGGAACTCAATCAGTGGGGTAGCCGAGTGCCCGGTTTTAAAATAAACTGTGAAAAGAAACTCCCTCCACCAAGCTGTTGTGTTCTTCATCTTGTCCTGTTTGGGTTAATTCCATCCAACCCTACTTATTCCTGTGATGTTCTAAACCTCTCCACACATGTGCTTTGGGGAGACTTATCCCCTGAGGGGTGACACCAGTACAAGGTATTTTAGATTGCTAGGGAATGTATCCAGTTAGCTGATATGGTTCTGCTCTTATTGTCTTCGTGGATTTTGTCTGAGTCCTTTTTGATTTCCTGTTAGATCTGTACTTATTCCAGATCTCCCCCTGCACACACACACATTTCTACCTTCTGTACTCAAACTGCTTTGTTTTTACTTTAAGTAAGTTGCTGTTTTCTTACTTAACTCTCTGCCCATGCAATACAGTCCAGTCAGCATTGTTACTTCAGGAAAGCAACAAAAGTGCTAACTTCCCATCCAGGGTATCTTTTGTTGTTTTCTTTCCTCTTTTTTTTTTATCAGACTGGCTGCCTGTCCTAAGGCCTGAATGAGTAGGAAGAGGTGGAGAGCTGCAGGTACATTTTATCCAAAGCATCCCATGGCTGGTAGCACTGAAAATATTTGTCTTCCTCCTTGATTTTGGAGGTCCTTAGCACCTTTGTTGTTAGACCCTCAAAGAGACATACATGATACCATGAGAGCCAGTTTGGTGTAGTGGTTAAGAGCGCAGACTGTAATCTGGGAGAACCGGGTTTGATTCCCCACTTCTCCACATGCAGCCAGCTGGGAGACCTTGGGTCAGTCACAGTTCTCTCAGAGCTGTTCTCTCATGAGCAGTTCTTGAAAGAGCTCTCTCAGCCCCATCTACCTCACAGGGTGTCTGTTGTAGGGAGAGGAAGGGAAGGAGATTGTAAACCACTCTGAGACTCCGAGTGAAGGGCAGGGTATAAATCCAATCTCCTCTCCCTCCTCTTCCTCTTCCTCCTCTTCTTACTACAGGGCACCATATGGCTTGTTTGTCATATGCATAGCATAGGCTTAGACCTTCAGATCCTTGATGGGGGAAATCCAAGATGTCTTTCTCATGGTTTGCGGCATAGTTGACCATATTCAGCAATGTCATTCTTCAAATATGTTGCTCTACCAGTTCTAATATACTGCAAGATTTCTTGAAGTTCTTTATCATTTCGGGTAGATATTCAGAGCTAATGAAGCCTGATGTCGGATGCTTCTTCATGGTAATCCTTGAGAGTCTCTTCCACTTAGCGGACATCTTCCTAAATTATAGAGTGTGCTGAGAAATGCTCTATAAAAACAGTGATTCCTTTCACATTTCAGCGCCTTTGCAAAGAATGGACTTAAAGAAAAATTGCCCTTCCATTCTGTGATCTTTCATTTTCTGTGTGAAACTTGTAAGAGAGAGCTAGTGTGGCGTAGTGGTTAGGAGTGTCAGAGAAGTATCTGGGAGTCCCATGTTCGAATCCCCACTTGTGCCATGGAAGCTTGCTGGGTGACCTTGGGACAATGACAAGGCATTTCTCGCTCGCTACAGGAGTTAAACATGTCTTCTGGGTACAATTGTAAAACATATGCTGCAGCCAGTCTGTCTGGAGCTAAGCAAGTCTGGGTCCGGCCAGGGCCTGAATCGGGGACCTTTGGCTTGTGTAGCCACCCTGACTTCCCTGATAGAACAAATGTAACTGGGTTGGGTCCAGCCAGTTTTCTCACTCCATCTCAGCCAGTTCTCCTCCTTACTATGGCCCCCATTCCATGTGACTTTTGTCCATACAGGTCCCGTGATCTTAAACGTAGTCTTGTCATTAGAGGGGCATCGGACTTGCGCAGTTGCTTTTGTACTAGTCGCCTTATCAGCCTACGCAATCACAATTTCACAATTCCTGTACAGCTGTCACAAAGACATGTAGTACTTTCACTCTTCCCAGAAATGTATAAACTGTAGCCGGTAATTCACATAGACGTGTCTGCTGTTTCCATTCTTTTATTCTCATATAAGTGGATGATTTGGCCTTCACAGCCGGATCAGTTTGTGTTCTTGCCCCTTTATATTCAGAAGACATATTGTTCTCCAGTACTTCACAGATGAATTTCTGGTTAAATTAATTCTAGTTCTTTACTCTTAGTGGTTGTCATTTTTTAATACTTAGTTGTACTATCCTCTCAGTAGTCAAAATGTTCTTATTTTCCCAGTTTCGGTAATAAAAAAGTATCTGGATGACTGCTTTGTGGCTAGGGTTGCCAGGCGTGGCAGGGATGCCGCTTGGCGACTGAGGCACGGCCTGGCAACCAGCAAGATATGGGAGAGGCAGGGACTTCAGGTGGGGAGGGCCAGTCAGCATCCCCAGTGTGATGATGGGTCACACCAGAAATGATGTCATGCTGGGGCGTGCCAGTTGCACACCTCCCATGTTGCCCATGTTTTTCCTGCTGCCCAGCTGAGCTGTCAGTGGGGAGTGGAAGGTCTCCTGGCAGCTGTATAATCAAGACTCAGACATGCGTAATTCATTTCAGTCCAAAGATGACTACACAAAGCTCCGGTCGCCTCTTATATATCAGATCTATGGAGCTGGTTTGGTGTAGTGGTTAAGTGCGTGGACTCTAATCTGGGAGAACCGGGTTTGATTCCCCACTCCTCCACTTGCACCTGGCTGGATGACCTTGGGCAAGCCATAGTTCTGATAAGAGCTGTTCTCTCAAGGATAGTTCTGGAAAGAGCTCTCTTAGCCCCGCCTACCTCACAGGGTGTCTGTTGTGGGGAAGGGAAAGGAGTTTGTAAACTCTGAGTGAAGGGTGGGGTATAAATCCAATCTCCTCTCCTCCTCCTCAATAAGCTGCTGCTTAGTCGTAATGTTCATAGGTATGTAACCAGTTTTTAAACCCCCCCCCCCCAAAGTAAGTCTTTACCTCACTCACTTTTCCTTCTGCTTGCTGGTCATATTCAGTGTGATTGCCAAGGTGTGGTCCCCCCCCCGCCCCCCATTCAGTGGTAGTAGGATCATTTTGACAGCCATAGGTTTCTGGTGCAGGAAACTATGTCCTCCGTATTCTGCTTGAGATTTCTGGGCTTAAAAGTGTACTTCTGATGCAGTGTCAAGGACAACTTTGAATGGAAGATGTATTTTCAGATGTCTCTAAGGAACTGGCATCACCGAGCAAAAAGAGCCAAATTTCAATGAATGACAGTGCCACCTATTGGTTAGCCCATATATCTTCACACAGTCCCGTTTGTAGATGAGGATCCAGCCCTACCCTGAATAGCCCAGGCTGGCCCGATCGCATCAGATCGTAGAAGCTAAGCAGAGTTGACCCTGGTTAGTACTTGGATGAGAGACCCCCAAGGAAGTCCAGGGTCATGATGCAGAGGCAGGCAGTGGCAAACCACCCCTGAATGTCTCTTGCCTTGAAAGAACCGTGAAGGGTCACCCTAAGTCAGCTATGATTTGATGGCCAAAAACAAAACAAAACGGGGGGGAAACTCTGAGACTAGTGAGCCTATGGCAGGTCTGGAATCAAGTTCATATTTAAGTCCATTGAGGATATTTTAAAAAGCATGCCGTTTTCTGTTCCCCTATTGTTTTTGGGGGTTTTTTTGCTGGTGTGGTCAGAAGTATGTATGGCGTCTTAACCAAGCACCAGTTACCCTACTTAGAAGTGAAACCTGACCATTATTTTGTGTGGTGGCGGTGGGAAGAATGTGAAAGAATGTGATGTGAAAGCCCTCTGGACAGCCGCTGCCAGTCTGAGTAGACAGTACTGACTTTGATGGACCAAGGGTCTGATTCCGTATAAGGCAGCTTCAAGTGTGATCGGGTGAGAATACGATAGAGTTTCACAGGCAGGGCTGATGACGTATTCATTTCCCCCCTTTCATTTAAGATGTACAACTTTACCAGTTTTGCTGTCACTCTCAACGAGCTAGAAAAGGGCATGGAAGAAATATTGGCTCCCACAGACTGTCGACTCCGGCCGGATATCAGGCACATGGAGAACGGAGAGATAGGTACGTGCAAGGAGATGAGTGGGAGAGCGTGCGTGCACCTCTACTAGAGTCATTAGATAATCCTTTCCTGTTGTCTTGCATGCTGCTTCCGGGAGCTCACTGAGATAGAACAGAATTTAAAAATGCTGAGGCTAGAGTAAGGCTCTCTTGGCTTAACCTCAGCTCACTTACAGGCAGCTATGCCTAGTGAAGAAACGGCAGTGTTCTGGTACCCATCGTTTCTGCCCTGAGGAGTATGCTGTTGTAGTATCTTTTGGTGTGCTGTTCCTCCTGATGGAAGCATGTAGGGAGACGTGTTAGCTTGCCCCCACCAGTGTTCCCTCTAAGCTGAGTTAGTGTGAGCTAGCTCACAGTTTTTTAGCCAGTGGCTCACAGACTTTTGTCTCAGCTCAGGAAGGAGGGCTCCAAAGCAAACTAATTGATGCAGTAGCCAAATCACTCGCTCACAACTCTAATGCCAGTAGCTCACAAAGTAGAATTTTTGCTCACACAATACTCCACAGCTTAGAGGGAACATTGGCCCCCAACATTATGAAATGTTCTCCTCTAAACTTGGCCAAATCCCAGCACAAGCCCCTTATCCATGGCCAAGATCCCATGTGGTGTTCTAGGAAGGCAGCAAGGCAATAGGACTTTCTGGAATTTTAATCTGGCTGGGATGGCATTTGGCTTTGCTTGCATGCATCTGATTTTTAAAAAACTTTGAACCGGAGCGAGTAAAAAGCCAAACCGATAACTTGCTCTGTGTGTCATGAGCACGTGTTAAACTTTGTTCTTAAAGCCTGTCTGGATTTTGTTTCTCCACCTTCCTTTCCTTTGTACTTTTTCTTTTTATTTTATAAAGTAATCAATCCTATTGAAATGTCTGTTAGATCTGGCTAGCAAAGAAAAAGAGAGGCTGGAAGAAAAACAGCGAGCCGCTCGTAAGGAACGTGCAAAAGGTGAAATCGAATGGAGGACAAGGTAACTGAAGGGCGGAGGGGTTGGGGTGTGGGTTGTCCCCTTAAGCCTTAGGCAATATGCCTTGTGTTAAACTGGGACTTTCTTGACCCTCCCTTAAAAGGTAAAGGTTTCCCTTGCTCGAAAGCTAGTCGAATCCGACTCAAGGGGGTGGTGCTCATCTCCGTTTCCAAGCCAAAGAGCCAGCACTGTCTGAAGACTTCTCCGTGGTCATGTGGCCAGCATGACTAAACACCAAGGCGCATGGAGTGCTGTTACCCTCCCACCGAAGCGGTACCTGTTTATCTACTTGCAATTTCTTGCTTTCGAACTGCTAGGTTGGCAGGAGCTGGGGTCAGAGATGGGAGCTCACTCAGTCACATGGCACTCAGGTCTCGAACTGCCGAGCTACAGACCTTCCGGTCTGCAACCCAGCATCTTAAACCTCTGAGCCACCGCGGCTCCTGGCCCTCCCTTACCTGTGTGCTGAAAGTTTCTGTGTTGTGTTCGTGATCACGGTTCGTATTATCCCCAGCTTGAGTCTCGTCCTTGACTGTGTTCTTTGGGTGCCATTCTGAAGCTCAAGGATTGGACTTCATTTGAAGTCAGCTGGCAGTCAAATCAACAAACAAGAAATGCTTCGTACTTTTTCCAGACTCGAAAGCAGTCGGTGCAGCAGCACCTAGCTCTTGCTGAATAGACCACTAAAGTGGCTTTCAAAATGGAGAAACTGTGACTCACAGACAAAAGAGAACAATTGCTTTTTGCTTCAGCGGGGATTCTTTGCATCATTCCTTGTTTGTGCACCCGTACAAAACAAACCTCCTGAAACACTCGAAGCATTGTATGTGTTTGGGGATTGTATGTGTTTTAAAATTGTTGCCCTGACTTCTGGCAGATGTTTTGGAAAACAATGACGATAATAACAGTGCCTCTGTTTCTGTGGAGAAATCTCACCAAGGGGAAGAAAAAAATGCAAAATAGGCCCTGATATTAACTTCAGTAAGCAGCGGTAGCACCCCAATGAAAGCCACCATTGATGTGCTGAAAAAACAAAACCATTATCTTTTCAAAGGAGGGAGAGCAATTTGTCCCACTGTTGTACTGAACTAAGTTAGTCTAATAAATATTTATGATGGGATGTTATTATTTGGGTGCCTTGGCCAGAAAAGAAATTATTTTCTGAAATATCAAAAAGGCGGGGGGGGGGGGATACATAATCAGTGGGATACTCATGTTGTGTGAGAGAGCCAGTTTGGTGAAGACTGTCAAACTCTGATCTGGAGAACCAGGTTCAATTCCCCACTCCTCCACAGGAAGCCAGCTGGGTGACCTTGGGTCAGTCACAGTTCTTTCAGAACTCTCTCAGCCCTTAAAAACAAATCTAGCTCAGCACTAGCATAACACTAAGAACTAGAGCTTGGAGTTGCCAGATAATCTTTGGATCTCCCAGCTATTCTGCACACAATCCCATACGATAATTAATTCACTTATCTTATGTAAAGGAGGACTGCAACCAAAATTGGGAGCCTCTGCTGCAGCATAACAGGTATTTCCCCGCCCCATCACGCTGGACTCACTGTAAAAGTGGTTATAGCTCAAAAACATGCTTGTAGAAAACTTTTCCCACTACTACAGTGTGTTTTAGTAAACATTAAATAGTAATATAGTTGGCAGCCCCTGTTCAGTTGCAAAGCACTTCAGGGCAGCACGTAGGTGGAAGCAGTTGCAGCGGTGGTTGAAGTGAACCTGTTGTGGATGAACCCAGAACTCAGGGAGGTTATCACAAAGTCAGCGGTCGTGGGCTGGATCTGATTTACATTTTCTGCACACAAAAGGACATCTGTGTACAGAAACACCACTTCCTACCTACCCCTCCCTATGCAGCTTGAGCAGCCCTTACATACTACTTCTAGGGGTCAGGAGACCCCTAAGAGCAAGCAGCACAGGGAGTGTCGGAGGGCTGCTATGGGAGGAGGGGAAATTGGTATGGATCTTTTTTTTTATTATTATTTTTTAGAGAATTAACAAAATCTATTTAGTCCATTTGAAACATACAAACACAATTAAATTGCCCCACCCAGGATATTAAACTTGTCCAGAACAGATTTCTGTGGACTTTAAATTCAAAATATACAAGCTTGAACGTTTAATAGGCCAAGCAAACCATAAATGACCTAAGACTGATCTCTCTAAAAATGGTCAGCCTATCTATCCAAATATTAATTTCAACAGGATTAATAATTAACACACCAGATAAATTATAAGTTCGAGCAATCCTACTATCCAGAAAATAAATTGAATATATAATCTTATACATAAATCAGCCTTAATCAGAGAGCAACTCTTAGTACCACTATCGTACCATCATTATTAACTGGCCCTGGGGAGAGAGAACGACAGTGCCACGTGGAACCGATAGCACTGATTGGATGTACCATCTTAGACACGCCATCTTGATGATAGATTTTGTTTGGAACATCTAGAGCACTTAATATGTTGTAATTCTGTAATAATGGTTTTTATGGTTTTAACTGTTTTTATGTGTTGGCGTATGCCTATTTGTGAGCCGCCCTGAGCCCGCGTTGCGGGGAGGGAGGGCTATAAATTGAAATTATAAATAAAATAATAAATAGTAAAATAGCCCAATCCTGTCCCATCCTTAGATTAGATTTGGGGATCCAACCCAAAGTCCCCTAGATAGCACCTGCATACAAATAGCATATCAGACTCAAATTCCAATTAGCAGCCTTGTTTCACCTTAAAAAAAACCCATTGAAAAATTGAAAAATGACTAATTATCATTATTATGGTCATCTTATTATCACTACTTATCCTGTTACTAGGCATAAGGGACTTGACACATGTCTGTTCCTCCTTTTTAATTGTGCATATATGAGGGTTAAAATAATTTCAAGTGGTATTCTTGGGGGGGGGGGTTCCCTTCATTTAATTGCTGTCTCAGTTAACAGTGTATCCTCTACCACTACCTCCTTTCTTTTTCTTTTTTTTTAACAGATGGTTTTATCACGGTACTAATCCATATACTGGGACTCCTGACTGGTTATACTCAGGCGGATACTTTGACAGAAACTTCTTTGACTGTCCCGATATATACTGAAATCTTGAACGCCGTTGTCCCTTCGCCCAGAGTTGGTAGACTTCAGCTGATGCCAGTGACTCTCTGGCTTGGTCAAGAGCAGAAACCGCCCTTTTCTAAAGTAAATTTTAACGAAATGATCAGTCGCCGATCAAGGATTTGTCATTTAATTTTGACTGCCAAAATATTTAAGTGCTGTTATTTTTTTCCATAAAGTGACAGCCTGAATTGAGTGTGTTTCAGAGGAAAGTGGTTTGCATGGGTTGGATTTTTATTTTTGCTTTCCCCATTAGTCAGTTTATATTTTATTGTTTGTTTCTGGGCCAGAATGAAAATGCTGAACCCAGTGGCGCTTGCAGCACCTTATTAAACTTTTAACTTATTCAGTACAGATGACCGCAACGTAACTTCTCATATTTCAGCAGTAAGGACACCTAGAAGTATTCACAGCTTGGAGCAACGGTGGCAAATTGGTACGATCGAGAAACGATGTGGTTATCGGAGAGGGTATCTAATGAGAATCGAAGTGACTGGGATTCTTGGGAGTCTTCTAAAAGGAGTCTTATCGTTTTAGCTCGACAAGTTTAGCAGAGAGCATTAGGCTTAACTTGCAGTCTTGGAAACATCTAACTTGGTTTTCACCTCCATCTTTGGGCACCATGTTTATCAATTAAGTGAAGCACCTGTGATTTAAAAAAAAAAAATTAAAGGCGCGACAACAGCAAACTACTACATCAAACTTTGGGACATGGTTTACAGGTGTTCACGACAAACACCTCCTTGTCTGAAGTTTCAGAATGTATGGCTTTTTTAAAACACAAAGGCTTTGGAGATGCTCATAGGAATTTGGGTGTTTTGTGTGCGTGTGTTTGTGTGTCATGTAAGAAACCACATCTTTCTTTCTTTTCCTTTCTTTTTTGCTTTAGTCATGAGAAGTCTGCAGCGCTGCTTCCAGCAGGCTGGCACTATTCAGGACTTATCCATAAACACACACTCCTTTGTCCTCCTTTGTATTCACTCTGAATCTTAATCTGTGAAAAGCTGTCACGTTTGGTTGTGGATATTTCAGTGTGTGTTCAGAAGCATTTACTGGGTCATGACAGATAGTACTGTCCTGAGAAGCAGTTTCCCTCCACTACCTTCTAGCTAAAATTGAGTGACCTGACTGAGGCTTTCATTGAATTTACAAGAGGTATAATTTCCTTGAGCGTGAGCTTATTTTTGTGGACTTAAAAAAACATATCAAAGCCATATGATCCCTGATCTGTGGTGAATTTTGAAAGAGAAGTATCCCCTCCCCCCATCGTCACCTATACATTTCTAGAAGGCAGGTGAATTTTACGGGCAATACATGAAGGTCTGAAAATAAAGTTTAGGTTGGTAGTTCAGGCAGTTTGAAAATAAGAAATTACTGATGGTTTTCTTGACTGTAATCCCATCATATTCTGTGGGGCTATACCAGTGTGTGGTGGTTAAGAATTTGTCCCTTGTGTGTTTAGAAACATCTGCATCAGCTGATGAGTTTGATTTCCACACGTTTTGAAGTTTCAAGCTTGCAAACTTCAACCAAAGACTAGAGATGCTGGAACTGCATCTAAAGGAGAGAAGCTTAAGTGACCTCTGTGGGGATGTAGGTGCTGGTGTTTTTATACCCATGCCTATGGAGCAGGAAAATTTGACTGCAACATTTTAGTCACATCTTCTTAGATTTTCCAGCAAAGAAACTTATGCTGAGAACATTCAAGGCAATAAAAAGACACTACAGACTGAGAGAACCATTTTTGGCTAGCATGCTGTTTTGTCACTCTTAACTCGATATTGTCCTTGGATATTGTCTTCCAAGCACTGTGTTTCTGAAAAAGTTGTAAGTCCCCCATTCATTTCAGCAGGGCTCAGAAGTGATTGATGAACACCATCTCTCCATAAGAAGAGCCCTGCTGGATCAGTGGTCTGTCTAGTCCAGAGCGGTAGTCCGTCTAGTCCAGCATCCTGTCTCATAAAGTGGCTGACTAGTTATTCCGGAGGGCCAACCAACAGGGCATAGAGGCCAAGGCCTTCCCTGATGTTTCCTCCTGACACTGGGACTGAGAGGTTTACTACCTCTGAATGTGGAAGTTCATAAAGTCACTAACAGCACTGAGCTACTGTCCACTGTGTTTTACGTTTTCCCCCTTCCATCCTTCAATGAACAAATGTCATAAATCCGCACATTAATATATGTCAACAGTGGAAGTTCCCAGTGACACTCCCCTCCCACAATGAATCACTGTTGAAAAGCCACACATATAAATATATGTAGATAAGCTTCTTACCAGAAATAAAAACGATGCACAGCAAGGCCCCTGTCACAAGCATATAATTTACCGACAAATGCCTTGATCCAGAGAGGAGCAGATTTTATTCCCCGTCGCGTTCCTGTACCAGATAAGCCACTTGGCCAGAGGAAGGAATGAGAAGACCGTGCCGAGTGGCTCTTCCTTCCCAGGGAAAGTGAAATGGTGGCAGGGTTGGGAGCGCTGTCGTTTGCAGATCTTCAAGCTTGGGCAACAACTATCTTCTCAATCCCGATCTTTGCATTGGGGGGGGGGGGTACTCTGAGGTCCCATTGCAGCAATTTGTTGAAGTTACGGGTTCAGAAGCCCTGACCTGGATGGCCCAGGCTAGCCTGATCTCGTCAGATCTCGGAAGCTAAGCGGAGTCGGCCCTGGCTGGTATTTGGATAGGAGACCTCCAAGGAATACCAGGGGTGTGACACAGAGGCAGGCAGTGGCAAGCCACCTCTGAGGGTCTCTTGCCTTGAAAATCCAATGAGTGGTCGCCATAAGTCAGCTGTGACTTGATGACCAAAAAAGGGGAGGGTAGATTGGCCCTCCTGGACTGAGGCTGCTGTATGCCCTTATCAGTGGAAGTTCTGGAAAAAAACTATATTAACCCACAAATCTAAATTAAAAGTACTAGAATGTACTTCAGCCTTTTACATAAAGATGAGCGGAGGCACGTTATACTTTTTAATTAGAAGGAATATTGTAATTTTTGAATAGTGGAATAAACCCAGCTGACCTATTCTTTTTTTTATATATATAAAATCTTAGAAGGAATATTCCTTCCATATTGCACCCTGGTAGGAAAATGTCATTCTAGCATATTTGATTTTTTTGTAAATGTCTTCTTGCTGATGGTAGTATGCTCTGCCTGGGTTTTTTTTTTTAAAAAAATATTGTTTTCCATTGCTTAAGTTCTTGCTTAATCAACCTGGTTTTGAAGCACAGTTAAATCACATCCACGTGTCACGAATCCCCGCCTTCTGTGCCAGGCATGGACTATGTTCATGCCTAATACCTGACGGGTTCTTGTGAAGATCTGTTAAAAACAAACTGTGCATAAAGAGATAGGGGAAACCAGTGGGTCTGTCTGGGGAAGCCTGAAATAGGCACTCGTCTCAGAGACAGGGAGAGATTTGGCATGGACAGTTCCTTTTTTAGCACTTACATCACTGCTAATAATGAATTGCACTTAAAAAAATGCATCTTGGGGAAACAGCAAATGCCGTTCTCTCCCATGTTTGTCTTTAACTTCTAGCCTGCCTCTTCTCTAGGACAGCTGGTAATCTAAAAATGACGCATCACAATAGCATCAGGTAGAAATTCATGCTAGAGTCCACGACCCTTAAAAGCTTCAACCATAAAATTTAAACCGTGGTTTGTTCGTTTGCTTTAAAGAAGATAATTTGCCTGGTTTGTTTACATTTTACCTGCACTCACCAGTGCCACCTCCATCACTTTAGCACTGCCTTACAAAGTTGACCAATTGACATTTCCACCGGGGGGGGGGGGATTAAAAAAGCACTTTTGAAAATAATCATGTTAAAATATTAAGGTTTAGACGTTAAGATAAAATGTTAACTTAAATATTTTTATGAGGGTTGTTAGTTATTTTTTCCCCTCAGCTGCTCACTTTCAGTCGTATCTGCCTCAGTACTTTGATCTGAAGGATCGTGTGCACATTAGCCCCAATGCGCGAGTGCTGACTGGCACCTGAAAGTTTTGATGTGCGCACAGTGCTCCCCGCAAACAAGGGCTTTCCTCTTCCACTCCAGTGTCAGGGAGAATTCCCTGCACCAGTCACTAATGCCTCTTACACATGTAGTGATGCTAAAGTATATGGGAAAGGCTGTGCTTGGTTGAAATGGTTTGTCACCATAAAACTCTGAAACTTTAGCGGGGGGGGGGATTTGCTTTGCCCCCTGCATGCCGTGCCAGTAGGTAGCTGCTATGTCTGCTTCCAGGCAGGTACAAGATTACCTCTATGCAACGGCTAAGCGTACTTTGCTAGAGGTAAGCAAGAAGGGTTGACACTAGACTACCTCATCATGGCATGATGAAAACAGGCATTTAACCTGAGATGCAGCTGGCTTTCCCAGGGAATAAGTACGTCAGAAACGCAATGCATCCACAAACCTTTCAGAGTCCTCACCCAGCTTCCTTACCTATTGCACCAATCAGCAGAGTTGGGCTGCCTTTATCCTTACCTGGGTTTTGATAGGATGCCAGACTTTAGATAACACTACAGATCTCTTGACTCCTGCAGCAGGATGACTTTGATTGGAGAGTGTCAATTTTTTATGTAAAAAAAAAAAAGGATTTGAGACCCAGCTAAATAATTACACATTTTATCAGACAGCGCTTCTAAAACTAAAAGGGAATGAAAGGCATGTGAACTGCGTATTCCTGATGGATGGAGTTTGATGAAACTCCCTTGATTTCTTCCATAATTTACGAGTCTAATTTGGTGTTTGGCCATTGCACCTTGACTCCATTTGGGGATGGACTGTCCCATGTAAAGCGGCAGCCTCCATGTTTGCACGCTTGCCCACTCTTTGCTTTCTCACGTTACAAAGTGAGAAAGAAACAACTCTGATTGTGGTCTCCACTTAATTACTAACTTTTTATTATGTTGTTTTTCCTGCCTTTCAAATCCGGTGATCAGTAAACTAACCAGCAAAATTAGATGTGAAATGCAAGCTGGTCTTCCCTTAGTAAACTGAAATCTTTTTTTTCACAGCCCAAAGTTCCTTCCCAGATCTGAAAAGTTTGCAAGGGACTTTGGAACCCTAACTGTAGCACTCAGGCTAACTTGTGATTCTGAAGAAAATTCAAAAATAAATGTGTGTTGTGAATCGTCCATACGATTCGGGTACTGGCGTGGTCTTTAATCTCTCTCCTGTTCACTATAATCCGTGTATTTAACTGTTGCAAATAAGACATAGATGTTCCTGTTTATGTAGTGCTTTAAATTCACGTACTCATTTGACAACGTATCGTAATGTTGCCTCTTGAAATACACACGTTGATTTGGGGTTTATTGTAAAATAAAAGCAATAGTTAAATTCATGTAAAGCTAACGGTTCTAACACAGAAAACTGATAATTTTTTTTTAAGTATGGTTTTTATAGCATGGAAGAATTCAACGTATTACCCACCCCCTGCCCCTCCATTTCTCGGTCCACGCTGCTGCTGCTGCTACTATTGCTGTTCTTTTTTGCCTTACTTATTTACTGTATCACTGTTTAATGATGATTTACATAGATGGGTCAATCCACCAGGAAATCCTTTCATTCAAACCCAATTTGAAAGGGGGTTTGCATAAGAGTAGTCATGCAGGCTATACACTTGTGCACACACACACCCCACTTCACTCTAGTGGGGCTTGCACCAGAGAGAATTTCCTGGCAGAGTATACCTATTGTGGGTTGTTGTTTTTTTTCTTTTGCCTTATTCATGTTGCATGAAAATGTTGGAGGATAATAATAAAAAAGGCTTTAGTGAAATGGATTTATTTTTATAATATTTAATAACTGTCAATACCCAGCTATATTAACGAGACAAAAATCATATTTACCTTTTTAGAGAAGTCTGTACAGGTTTGTGGACATAAATGTTAAAAAAACTGTAAATCTGAAATAAAGGTTGTTTTGGAGAAGACATGTTGGTTCTGGTCCTTCTTATCACTGGCTTTTGTTGGTGGGAGTTACTTCCAAGTAAACAAGCATAGGATCAGGTTCCATGAGGAATTGTAGCTGATGTCTGGGGTGAAGAGGCAAAGGATCTCAACCTTTTCTGGACTTGGCTCTTAGACTTTTTTGTTCTTGCTAATGGCCTACCTACGCATACATGCAAAGTCTGCGGTGTGCTTAACATCCCACATCTTATGCTGCCTTTCTCCGGTGGTCCTCGGAATGGGGCGGTCCTTTAATCCATCACTTCCTGGGACTTGGCTCCTCCTCTCCACTTGCAGGGCCGGCCAAACTTGATCCTGGAGGGGGAGGGGCCTGTCCTCTGGTTCCCCAGTTCTTCCGGCCCTGCCTTCGAAGCAGGACGTCTTGGCTGTGCTCTAGAGAGCACGAAGATCCTGAAGATAAAGGTGAAGAAAGAAGAGCAAGTGAGTTGGTCTTGGGGAGACGGCGGAAGGATCTGGTTACCTCCCCACCCCTCCCGATTCTCCTGTTGAGAGCGGAGAACGGCTGCCGGCAGCATTGGGAGTTCCCCGATTGGGCGCAGCAGCCAGAGAGCCCGCCCCCGCCGAGGCGCTAGAAGCAGCGCCGTAGAGCAACTGTTCCAGGCTGCACCCCAAAAAAATGGCTGGACCACCCCAAACGACACATCCCCACACTCTGGGGACTGTGCCCTGCAAACCGACATGCAGAGATGCCCGGTCCAAACACCGGTTCTGATGCCACGAGTTTCCGTTGCACCAGCTTCTGTTCGCAGGGCCTACCTGTTTGTTTGTCCTGGGGACAGTGCACTTTGGAGCAGCTGGCACCAGAACCACAGTTTGGACCAGCACACCACATATGTCCCCTCGAAGGGGAGAGTCCTGTTAATGTGGGGGTATATGATATGTGGTGGTCCAGAACTTATTTTGGGTGCAGGGGGCACTTCCGTATTCAAATTTGAAATACAGGCCGTCGTGTGTGTTTGTCCTGGAGACAGTGCACTTTGGAGCAGCTGGCACCAGAACCGCACGTTGGACCAGCACACCG